GTAAATAAAAAGTGGGCATAGTTAAAAGATTGCTATTACTTTGCCAACTCATGATAAGAATGTTATCCGAAGTTAAATGACGGTCGGCTTGAAAAATTTTCTTGTTATTCGCTATGCGCTAGCTAACACAATAGCAACTACTGCAGGCTGGATTAGCCTTTAAAAAACCAATTCTTATCAACAGATAGTCATATCAGCAGCAACCATGCTGTGTAAAAGAGAACTGCTGGGCGAGGCACGCCTTTAGTGCAGTGATCCACTGAAGAAGTAGGTCCTTCTAGGTGTGACTACGAAGACATCACATGGTGAAGACGAAGACGTACAACTGTGGACCACCGACTCAGCCCATCGTCTCTGATGAAGACGAAGACATCAAAACGTTGGCCGAATAAGTATTGTTTATCAACCTCGTGCAAGCTCATCCATTAAATACGTGTTGATTCAAAAGACCGACCTTCTATAAACCTCGGCATAAATCATTGATATATTTATTTATATAATCTCATAAACTGATCTTTTTGAGCTGATGCGAGGCTGTATACGTTTTCGTTGTCGTTGACGTTGCTGTTGGTATTGTTGGTCGACGCCTGACGTTTCGGCTATTTCGCTTTCCTCAGAGCCTGGACGTATTTTATATAACATTGGCATTATTTTCAGTAAAATATCTATAGTATTAATGAAGATCAGATTTTTAAATAAATGCCATATTGATCAAAAGGACTACTCACCGTGCTGTTACGAGTGGGGCAGTCCGCATGTTGTTCAGGTGGAGTAGCGAACAACATCCTTAGGTTAAAAAATTATTTTGAAAAAAGGCGCCAGGTTATGTGCGACCTGCGCTAGGACATATATATATTCGTCACCCCACGTGAACAACGGCGTGGGCCAGTCCCACTCGCAACAGGACGGTGGCTAGTCTTTTTGACTAATATGGCGTTTATTTATATGTTTGCTCTTCATTAATACTATAGATATTTTATCGAATACAAGGCTACTGTTACATAAAATACGTCCAGGCTGTGAGGAACGCGAAATCGCCGAAACGTCAGCCGTCGACGGACAACACCAACAACAACGGCAACGACGACGTATACCAATCTCACAATGGCTCAGTAAGGTTAGTTCATATGAACATAATTTCTCTTTAATTGAATAGTATGGCTTCAATCAACGATGAAAATATCGACCGTAACCGACTTGCGCAGGTTTCTTCTATTGTAGCAGTCACGAATTATTGATGTTGCATTAGGATTATTATGATACAACAAAAAAATTACTGCTGTAACGGTATCATCCATTTGGGAGAGTCTTCTCCAAGATACATGGTACATAGTGGGTCTCTGTATAGAGAACTTCTCTCTGGAAAAGTTCTCTATCTAAATAATAGAATTTGAAGTACAAATATGGCCGCCTCGCAGTCGCACATCAAACACCGCAATGTAACTTTTGTAATCTTCTCGATCAATTATGTTCGGTGTTTCAGGCAAAATAGCGATTCAGGTTTGACTTCAGTAGCAAACCGACAATGGCTTATCCGAAGGAGGCGTAACAGTGGAACAGTTTACTACTTCCTTACGAAACAACGAAGCTAATGACGTTTGATGTTTCAGGCAGTTAAGTACAGTCTATTGCGGTCCAAGATCAACAATCCAGATTAACCGCGGTTGCATACGCACGCGGCTCCCGCAGCCAATATAAGCCAGGTGCCTTCGACGGCGGAAACATGCCATCACTCATTTACCCCCTATCGGTAGCGCGGTTAATCCGCTCCTCACAACCACATCCTCAATCATCCTCAATCACCTCAACTCATTCTTAGTCATACTCATTTATTCTTATTCAATCACATTCATTCACACATTCACATTCATCCTTCAGTAATCAGCAGATTACTGCATCTCGTTTCTCAGCTGGTCTGCAGTGCGATGTCAGTAGTGGCGGGTGTTACCAAATGCGTTCTGTTAGCAACGCCATCGGTGGCATGTACCATTCCTCCCACAATGTACGCCATGCGTACAAGGCCGCTGAGCTGCCAACTTATGCCATGTATTCTGTTAAGCCGCTATAGGCTTATCAGTTTTGTAGCCATTTATAATACTGGCCCTTGACCTTTAGGCAATGGTGGCACCCACCGATGATCAAAGTTCACGTTGCTGACATAGCGTTATTCACAACCAGCCATCTGACTGTGTTCCGTAGATGACTCATCATTCAGTGTCCATAGCTCATAGCTTACTGTCCTCATCGATTCACTAAAATGCACCTCATCGCCATAATGTTGAAATCATAGCTTGGCCGAAACACGGCCAGTCTGTAACCTTCACCACCTCAGCATACTGTCTCCCTCTCCGCGGCATACAGTTTCCTCCCTCCGGCCCCAGCATACTGTCTCTTTCAGCAGCCGCACCGGCTGCGGATAGACGCGGCGCGGCATCGCCCACGGCTAACTAACGGCTACTTCGTTGTAAACTCATTATTATTGTTAATATTGTATTAATGGTATAGTAATGTTTGAATGCCATTATCTCATTGTTAGCCTCACTTCACTACAGGCCTTAACACCTCAGAGCTCTAACTTGTGTCATTCCTCTACCATTACTTCTCTATCGTTACTATTATGTTATTAGTGTTGTACCTTTGTATAAAATGTTTAATTACCCAAGTTTGAGGTTGGTAGATGAATACAACAACTAAAGGACTCGCGTGGCTAACATTCTACATCAATCTGAACCGCTACACTTCGCCGCTAACCAATTTGTTACACTCTGAGCTGACGTCTTGGAAAACCCCTAGCCGTACAATCTTTAAATTCCGGAGATAGAAGATGTTGAGCAATAAACAAATTACCATTCGAGTGGGAATTCTACTGAGAATAACAGAACTACGAAAGACTATTCAGATATGTAGGCGAGTACTAGAAGTTTAGGGGCAAAGCTAAAAATTTATAGGTTCATAAGTGGATTAGCGGCATGGCTCACCTGAAAAACTGCTAAGGAGCTGTTATCAGATCGATCTGACATAAGCGAAGACTGTTTAGCACAACACAGACAACGAGGCGACACCGATCCACGATCTATCGTCTTCCATGGGAGGCCGCGCAGCGACTAGAGTGAGGGCTGGAATTGTGTTCGTCAACGCTGCATTTACAAGGTTCATTGCCTACTGTAGGACCTTCTAGGACCAATGCTGAAAACGGTATAAGCGTTGACAAAGACGTTTTTCGCGGTCGCTCCAAAAACATGGAGCTTTGCCGTGATAGAATAAATAAATTTCTATGATTCTAGCAAAACGTCTGGAATATAACATTTATAGCAGCTACTCGGTAGTGTGTGATTGTTTGAATTTAAGGTCAGAATTATTTTCTACAAAAAAGCGATTACTTATTTCTCAAGGGAATTGAGCCTCTTCCATGGATCAAAGTTCCTAGCAAAAATGAATTCTAGAATGGGTATAAAACACAATTTTTAAAAGCAAAGAAATTTTCTTCCAAATGACGCTGCAGACAAATACAGTTTTAAAACACAAGTCCAAAGCAAAAAAATGGCTCTGCGTTGAGACTAAGTATCTTTAGAATAAAACCATTTTAAAGCGAAGTAAAAGTTTTATGATACTACATGATAGATGCTTATTAACCGTTGCCAAACAGTTTCCAGTGCTCCTGGTCTTTTGCTAAGGGATGACCAACCGTAAATTCGAGAAAGTGCCACGATACAGACTGGTCCTTACAATCGTCTTTATAATCATAATGCCATTGTAAATTCCCTAAATCACTTAGTTTTTCCTGTTTGGTAAACAAGTCACTCGCTCATCAGGTTGACTTCTCGATCCAGGGACACCTGGAACAACCGAAGGTATTCTTTCCGCTGAACGTAAAGCGAATATCATAACAAAGAGTTTTGTTTTTTTTTTACTGAAAGTTAGATACCTTGCCCAAAAATGTCAAACAAGTTTGGCATTCTCGAAGTGATTACCTCAGACCAGTATATTTGATGATGAGAATTGCAACTACTACATCGCTTGGCCCAACTCAGAAAAAGAGAAACGAAGCCAATCAGCCAGAACTTAATCGACCCCAAGTAAAAAAAACTGTTTTTCTTATTTACTAGTTAGTACGAACGATAAATTGAAAGCCTGATTGTTTTCGAAAACAGTTAACTGAAAAGAAAACAATTTGGTGCGGAAGTAAAGACGCTCAGTATTTGTTCACGAAGCCCTTCAACAATAAACGCTTGGTATTTCACTAACTATTTATAGATTTCCATGATAACATCTCATGATCAAAAACTGAGAACTCCCTAAGTGAGTCAGACACCTTTGGTGAACGAAATGATAAGCCTCTCTTTCGGAAACAAAAAAATAACGAAGTTTTCTTTTCTAATCCTGGATATCCATATTTCTTGCAATCTTCACTATGTGAACGAGAATTCAATGCAAGTCGCGGATCTAAAGATCAACTTGAGATAGGAAGTGGCCTCAAATGAGATTGATGTCGATCCGTGTCATTCGTTTTCAAATATTTGACAGTTCAAAACGACTGTAGTCGATCGGAGCTTATAACTCTGGCTATTCTTCAAGAAAAGCAGCGCTTCCACAAAGTCCTTAGCCTTGTTCTTTTCGTTTAGACGTTTTCTAATGAAGTAATTCTTGCTCGCCTTGTGAGAATATTGGTGTCAAGCGGCAACATTTCTTTGGTCCCTCTCATTTAAGAGAATAAAGCATAGTATAGCTTGAAATTCTTCCTATTTCAAGGAAGTTTGAACTTTGAACTAAACTTTTTTGTGGTTTCTTTCTTCATAATCCTTTCTTCAACATTTACACCCTTTCACTGTTTCGATTTCGTTTAGCTTTACAGTTGTCGGGAGGAGATGGCGAAATTCCAGCGGGAACTGCATCTAACTCGTTCTTTCTTTCATCACGCGAAATCTACGAAATTAAATGAATGCAAAACACCGACAATAATCTGCTTATCGTTGCTCGCCTTTCTAACGACTTCCGTGCTAATGAAAATCCACGAAGCAGCGTATTCAATCCTGGCTAGTCGTAGTCCACAACTGTTTTCTTGGAGTTCGAAGCGTAACTGCCAAGAAATCTGTTCAGGTTAGAGATTTTTTGAAAATATTTGGCGTTCTGAAGTACTCATAATACTCAGTACTAAAATCGACTGGTTAAATCTAATGGTACAGTATAGTGCCGACGATTTTGAATTGGTAACAAACAACTGAAAATTTGTTGAGTTGTTGTTGAGTGCTCTCAGAAGTTCGAAGCTGGTGAACAGATTTATTTTTGTCTTTCATTTATCCTTATCCCTTCATCTTTACATCCTTTCTTTAAAAACCCGGAAGGAGTTAAGTTGGATAGTCTTTATTTTAATGTAAATTTCAAATTTTTGTAGTTTTTAAAGACTAAGTTTTCGTTCGTTGGATGTGGCGCACTGCAACAACATGTGGAATCGACTCCTGCTACCCCGGCCCACCAAGCCCTCCATCCCTGGGTAGGTAAATTGGAACCAGAAGACTTGTCTGAGAGGATAGCAGCGCTGGCTGGATACATCGGTAGGCTTCCGCGAGTCATTGTAAAGGCCAGATATGCATTCAACCTCCAACGGTACTTAATGAAGTCGAATGCATGGCGTATCCCTCAAGGATAGATCAACGCCAATAGCTTTATCCTTTTTATCTTTTTTAGGTTTTCGTTAGAGTTCGTTTCTCTTATTTTTAATGAAAATTTTCATTAGACTCAGCACCTCTCATTTATGCAGGCAACAGAACTGAGGAACTAGACTACGCTTCTCTGCAAAGCTTTTATGAGACCGCGAAGCGAAAAGGAATTGGTCGAATGGTGAGTAAATTATGACAAGCATACATTTATTCAAAGGGGAAAAGAAATCAAATCGTCTTTTTCATGGAGGGCAAAAGATGAACATTTCTCTGCTGTCCGCCTTTGAGCAACCGGACCGCATCTACGTAATGATGACATCAGTGAATAAATACGGGTCTGTTTAAGTAATTGTTTCTGTTGAAATTTTGAGGTTTGCACAAGAGGGCTGTGAGACCAAATCAGATTTGTTGTCGAATTTCTATCGCAGAGGAGTTTTTCCTGCTGCTTGTTTTTGCTTAGAACATGACGCCCGACGCTGGTATCAGTTATGGGCTTTCTCGTTCTCAGCATTAAATCATCATTCCTCGGTAATTGAATGATTTGAAGAGTTAAAAACACAAACCATTTATTAAAGAGAATTTGTTAAGCTAGCATTTGCCACTGTATTATAATATTATGGCCCACAATATAGCCACATTGCTGTTAACGCTTTGAAGTGTTTCGCCAACTTTTGTGCATACCTCGGCATTCCTCTATTTCTTTAAACTTAGTCCTTATTCTCTTCAATAAAGTGAACCCTAACAACGAATAGCATGAAACCAAACTGCAGTTAATTAATAGTCGAATGATCGGTCATTTAGCTTTTTCGAAAAGGCTTTTTCCTTCTACACAATACCAAGCATAGGAAAAGCTGCCCACGAACCGCATCTCACATATCATCCGTGCCGGATAAGCTAACAAGGATCAGGAGCAACTGTGTGCCAAATTAGCTCACTGGAAAGGAAGTGCATAGAAACCAGTGAAATTCCTTCGGCTTGTAGCCACTGAACCCATGAACAATACTCAGTTCACATCGGGTATTATGCCTCAATAGACAACGAACTCCTGAACTCATAATTGTCTGTGGCGCACGTTTGGCTGGTAATTCATTAAAGAACCAGTGAAATAACCTAGATGGTGAACTTTTCAGATTCTACCATCTTTTTAGTTGAACACGACCTTTTTAGCTTAACAAAGAATGTGTTTTCTTAGATAACAAAAGCAAGGAAAGACTCTCATTTACTATCTAATCTCATGACAGAGACACGGTCCACTGTCGTTATTTCAACCACCAACGGAAAGAAATTACTCCGGCGTACAGAACAGTCGTGTTTCCCGAGTTCACTGCACGATGCGCTCGACGTGAAGGAGCGAAATACATTTCACTGACAGACAAGTACTTCGGCTCGTACGGGTTTCCTGTGCCGATTACTGACCGCACTAATCAAGGTTTAGTCCTTTATTGCTGGATTTTGGTACATGAAGAAAAAACATGGCAATTTTCTTGCATTTCTGGAATTCATTTTTGAACATGCAAGCGTTTCAGATCCAACTTACTATTTTTCTGCTTGCCTTGCTCCTTTATATGGCACAGAGTTCAAGTGGTTACTGTTAGCCGAATTCATCGAACACCATAAGATTCAGGTGGTGTTTCTACCTTTTTGCGTTCCAGCATCTCAGTGAGAAAAATATGTCACACACAGGCTTCGGCATGTAGTCTCATCACATAGTAAGTTTTCGTACTTGACTATTCATCCGTATAGGAGCAGCCTCCTGGCTGTATTTCATGGTTTTTCAACAAAGTAGGCCTCAGTACGCTGAGGCATCAAGCATCATGTAGGGATTCCCCAGTTCATGCATAATTTATTCACGAAGATACACACGGAATGAAAAAGGCTGTTAGCTATAGTGGATTTCTAATTCATCTTTTTGTTTAGAAGGTAAGAATTTTCTCGACTAGCCTCTGCTGGAATATTTTTAACGTGGTTAACTTCTGAATCGCATTTTAATCTATAATTCAAATTTCGGTTACAACATCTAGGGAGTGAAATATTTCTACGTTTACGTAAATGAAATGGATGAGTACAGTCGGATGCTGTTAGACGATTATGTTCGCTCCGGAGAGGCTGAAGTCATAGTTCTTCGTGATCGCTTTACAAGAAATGAGAAGCAGTGGCAAGTACTTGAGCTGCAGGTCAGCATTGTTAAACTATTCGTCTCCTATGCGAGTTATGTGATATTTTGTATGTATTTTTGAGAAGTTGACATTGCATTTATGCGTTGTATTTTTTCAATCTTTTCCCTTGATTCTTTCTTTCTTTTTTCTTGGAGTGAATATTCTCGCCCTAAAGTTCGGGTGTGATTGGAGAGCACGTCATAGCAGAACACGTTTGGAACCTAAGCAATATGAGAATTAATACTGTCGTATTTGAACAGTCATAATTTACCAAGCCAAAAACATGCGGCTGTTCTACAGCGTAACTATAGATACATTGTTTTAGGGTTTCTTCGGGATAAGAGCGCCTTATGAGGATAGATGTTTTAACATATTCGCGGAGGTGAAGAAGTCTTTGTTAGGTACTGCCGTATATAACTCATTTGCTTCCTGCTTCTTTGTTTTGACCCACGAACATTTCCTTCGTTTTATCGACGACTTCTCAGTATAAAGACATGTTGGAGGAGGAATAGTATTTTCGATGGATAATTTGCAAAAGATGCATCATAGAGGTTAGGGCGAGTTTCTTCGTCTCATTGAGTGCAGCATTGGTTATTTTATTTGTTGTGCAGTCAGAGTAATGTAGAAAGCTAGTAGTCAAAATAAATGGAAGTACTTAATCTCTTCCTATTAATGGAAGCTCTATTCGAATAACTAGATAACGTTCACACACGACCTGGTATTAGAACTGTCATCATTGCGAATGTGGCAAAACATCTTGAGCAGAGCATAAATTTGTTGCCCATTTAGTACTGGTTGAAGCTTAAGGATTTGTTGTCGTCTCTCACTGAGGTCCACAAGACAATCTATGACGGCGTATCTGATTAATCATTTTTTTAAAGTTACATTACCATTCATCACATATTGTACCGGTCTCAACTTCTATTCAATTCACCGTCTCTTATTCATTATTCATAAAGGTTTTCGGATTTGCGGATAGTTTCGGTTGATGCTTAAGGGTTATTGTTCTTCTTTAAGAACATCTTTAAATCTTGGTAGTGTCGATTGTACGATAGCAATGCTAAAATGGGTTTAGCTCTCGTGCATCGGACAGAGCATTCCAGGCACGAATGATACCGATTCTCAGATCGCGAATGATTTGTGGCTTAGCCGGTTTGGTGGGGTAGGGAGAGGTCTTTGCTCATGCTCGGCAGAATCACTGCCGCTAGCTACGTCAACTGCATCAGCATTTAAGTGATTAAGTCAAAGAAAACAATTCAAACTCTAGTAATTACATCTTTATAGGAATGCCTCACACGTGCCCGTGGTCACTCTCGATGGGTGGCGATGATCGATCTCGATGAAAGACTAACTTCAACGGAGTACAGTGGGACTCTCTCTGAATATCTCCAGTCTGTAAAAATCAAGAGTTTTTTTCTGTATTTTCAAACTTGTATTTTGGTTTAGAAGTATTTCCAACCAAACAATAGCGGAATTGTCATTTCGACAACAATGGATTCTTCGGAACGAAAGTGCACCAGAGAAATATGTCAACAAAAGTCAGGTTGGCTAGCACATTTCTATGTGTCTATGTCTATGTGGTGAACAACAGGATGCAATGGATAGCATTCACTTTATTTTTGGACAATAAACAGTCCTTTATCGACATTCTTTGGTCGAAAAAAGTGGGTGCTCTTTATCTAAGATTTCTTCCCTGAAAGTAATTGTTTTCCATTACTTTCATGTGCTCATTTCTGCATAGCACAGCTTTTCTGAGTATTTGTTTTTTCTTAGCATCCCCGTAGTTATTCATTTCCGAGGCTGACCATCTTTTAACCTCGGCATAGACCAATAATACATCGCTTTCTTGGTGTGCAAACACAAGGTCGTAACAGCAAGAGATAACTACGATTGTTGCTAACAGCAAGATAAATATAGATCTTCTTAACAGCAGGATAAATAAGCAGATCCATAAAATTTTTCTTAAAAAGGGCTTGTTTAGATAAGTCGACAGCAGTGAATGAAACACCACCGAGCACTTTGAGACGCCGCTTGTTTGCATCCTTTTGTATGACCGTCTATGCGAAACCCAAAAATGCGTAATATGCCACAACGGTAGAGATGGTGATTGAGCTCTGTTACCGTGTTCTCATTCTATTGAAATTCGTACGGGGACGAATATATTGGCGAAACAGGTACACCACTACACACGCGTGTAAAAGAACACCTACTCGGTGAATTTAAAGTGAATTCTAATACTCCACTAATCGCACATAGGACTCCCAGAAACATGACGGAGAGGATTTTCATCTAAAAGTCACCATCCTCGAGCAGAAATGCATGTTGATTGTTTAAAGGAGCTGCTTGTTATGCTAATAAAAGTTTACGTATTAGGCTTTGTCTGCTGAGGTTATGATAATGTTGGTCTGAGTAGACTGTGTGTCAATTGACCCTTGCAGGCTCTGAATGAGGAGAATTCGCAGAAATGTTGATCAGTATTGTATTTAATAAATCTCGCTGTTAACCACCTCGTGTTTATTTGAGAAAAAACGACTGAAAAAGTTTATTACAAGTTTGATTTTCGGCCACAACTGTAGGTTAGTGATGTAGGGAGTACAGCTGTTTATATTTAAATATATATATATATATGCATATGCGTGAACATAAATACATATACGCATACATTTATGCATATATATTATAAACATATAATATATACATATATATGTTTATAGGTGGATAGATAGATATCAATAAATCTCACTTGCTCCTTATTTTTGTGTATAACATACATTGGACGACAAGAAACTTTTTCTCAGCTTCCAACTATGTTGTTTCATGAAAATACTTGCTTACTGGAACGCTTGGATGGTCTCTCTTCATTGCCTATATGGGCCCTAGCATATTTTCCATTTGTTTCCCTCTCGCGCAACCGACGTCCATGGGATGATCTACTTTGGACACGGTGACGTCTATGAGACACATTCGCCTACCGTTTGGGTGAATTTCCACGAATGCGTTTGCATTCGCTTGTTGTCCATTCCACCCTTCTTCTCATCACTCTGTCATCTGTTTTTCTTACTTTGCCACAGGGCCATCTGTGTTTCGCTATGGGATAGGTTTCGGCTGGTTAAATTTAGGAAGACACTGTTCAAGCGCTAAGTGGGTGGTGTACAGATTTCACGATATGGTAACAGCTCACGTTTCTGTGCTTAACATAGCGATTGGAGACTTCTGAATTGAGAATGTGAACGTGGAGTTTTGGGTCGGTTAGTCGGTAGGTGGCTTTTTTGAGAAGCTCGAGTGCCGCCTATGCTGATCTCCTTCTTCTGTCCAATTCTGCTTCTCATGTCCACGCTTCAGATACACCTAGGAGGTTGTCTCTGTAATCAGAGAACCATACAGTTTAATTTATTCAAATTCTAGCTATGGGTTTTGATGAACTGGATCTTCTTCCCATTCATGCTCAGCCCAATGTTTTTTGCCGCTTTAAGGAGTTCATTGAGCACCGTCTTTCCTTCACTAGTAGTAAAATACGACGATGTCATCAGCGAAATGAAGATTTGATAGCAATATTTCATGAATACGTAGGCTTTTCGCGGCAGTAAACA